AGTTCCCAGTTTTGGTCGAGGACTCACTGAGCACTATGGTGGGAAGAGCCCACATCTCCCGGTCCTCACACGGTTGTTCTTTCAACTGGACAATCTTCTGGGTCCAGGAAAACTACAACTGCTTGTTGGGCTTTTATTTTACTTTCTCCTCTTGCCTATTTAAAAGGAACAGTCTCTACCTCTTTTAAGTGATTCGTTCACTCATCCATTCCTGTCACTGTGTTCAGATCTCCATCACTGCATCTAGCACACTGCTTTAGAGTTGATTCTATACCGATCTGTTTCCCCATCAAACTATGAGTACTGGGGGTGCAGGGACATTGTCATTCGCCTTTGTCCACCCAGTGTCCAGCCCAGTTTCTGATACTCTGCCGGCACTCTCTAAACGCATATAGCGCCACTAAGGAATGAATGGGCACCACATGTTCTATTCTCCCTTATGTAGCCATTCCTAATTAGCCCAGAGACTCCTGAAACCCTGGGATAGACTATCCTTTCCCCGTGCTCCATAAGCAAGCATCTTAGAAAGGTCTGATATTAACATTGAGAAATGTCTGCATTCTTGCAGCTCCTCAGTGAGGCTTCCTGAGTGAACACAGGCAACGCTGAGGAAGGTAAGGAAAGAGGACAGAGTGTCCCGTGGAGTCTTTCATGTGTATGACCAGTGTTGCTGCATCTGGGACACAGGTGTATGCCTGAGCCTTTCAGTCACACTGGTCATCACATTTCTTTTAACCAGTCCTTTTCGTAAGTCCTTTCCCACCCCTGTGGTGGGAATCTACCACAGATGAAGTCTACTTTTGTCACATCCTCTGTCTAGCTGTACTTTTCAAGTGGGTGATTAAGAATTAAACCCAATGGTCCTGTGAAGAAGAGGGATACCAGCCATGTAATTGGAAGGGGGTTCTGCAGCAGGGAGGTGGGCAGGTACTGTATGAAAAGGCATCAGAGGCCTCCCTGGTGGTGTAAGGGGTTAAGACACACCCTATAAAGCTATCCACAGCCACTGCAGCATGAGTTGGATCCCCGAAAAGGCGCAGCAGACCTCTCCTGACTCGCCCGCCGTTGCTCCCCTCAGAATTGTATATCAGTTAATCTGCCTGTTATGATCCCTACTCTGTCTCTGGTGAATCCTCTCATCCCCCACATCTCTGGCCTGCACCCCAGCTCTTGTATGTATAAATAAATAAATCTTTTAGGAAAAAAAAAAAAAGAAGAAAAGGCATCAGGCGGGGCTTCCCTGGTGGCGCAAGGGGTTAAGCACAGCAGTGTGAACCTATCCGCAGCCTCTACAACACGAGTTCGATCCCTGGCCAGGGAGCTACCCACATGGCGCAGCAGACCTCTCCTGTCTCACCTGCTGTTCCCCTTAGCAGTGTATTTCAGTCAGTCTGCTTGTTCTGCTCCCCACTGTGTCTCTGGGGAATCCTCTCAACCCCCATCTCTGGCTTGTATCCCAGTTCTTGTATGCATAAATAAATATTTTTTAAAAAGGCATCATGGGGACAATCAGAAAAGGAGAATGGGGGAAGGTTAGCGCCACCTCCTGGGGCAGCATGCAAAAGCAGAGAGGAAGCTCTTCCTTTAAGTGAGGGATTTTAACTCAGTATCATAAGCATGGGGAGAAGCAGATTCGTTAGCTTTTTAATTTTTTCTTTGAAGTTTATGGATTCCTTTCCTTCCAAGTGAAGAAAGCCACCATCATTACTAAATGCCAGTAATAATTAAACATTTTGCTATGTGGTCCAAGCATAACATTACTGGCAAGGGTCATCTCAGAATGTGATATTTCCTTCAGATTCCAAATCATTTAGTAGAAATATTGTATGCAAACCGACAGGAGAGAGGAAAAAAGAAGTTCATGAAAGAATGAAAGAGAATTGGTTCCCAGTGTCTCCTCCTGCTTGCAGCTGCCGGCTGATAAAAGTTGAGAATGAATTTGATTCCAGAAGCCATTTATTTAAGGCTATTATTCATATATAGCAAATGAAAACCCCAAGGGACCCATTAAAAGCACAGACTTCTCAGGAGATCTCTCTGCAGTTGGCTTGCCAAGACAGTTCTCCCCCCATCCCTGCTCCTGTGTTGATATTCTGTTGCATTGCCATTAGTTTTGATAGTGCTGCCCTCTTACTTTTCTCCCAGCCAGTGTCTGGCAGGGAAACAGAGTAAATAGGGATCTCCAGATAGAGGCCCAGAGACCACAGGGAGGGGTTGCCTCAGTATCCTGGAGGTGCCCTGCTTGTTTTCTGTGACAGCCACAACAGCCCTCTCTCTCCTGTGCCTCCAGGACGCCTGACTGTAGTGAGATGGTGTTCTTAAGGAGCTCCAGCGCAGCATCTGGTTTGGACTAATTTAAATAAATGTGTGAATCCCTGATGCATAAACGTCTATTTCTTTTTTAGCCTTTCTACATGGAAAACCCATTTAGAAAGTCAAAATTCTTTAGCCAGACTGTACAAGACCTCAGGACCTGTGGTCTCCTCTCTCCCTTCCTCTACTTACATTCTCTTCCTACACGGGTTTCTAACATTTTCCCCAGGCAGCCTGTGACAGCTGAGCTCCATACCGCTCCACACTGAAGACAACTTGCTCTCTTCCTCTCTGGGTTTTCCAGCCCAACATATACATCCATCCAGAGATACAGAGAGCAGGGCACATAAACACTGAAATCACTGGTAACAGCAGATTCCTTCATGTTTTCCATTTGTGCACCCAACACTATGGAGAACATTCTGAGCCTTCCATGAGTCTGGGAGGGAGTGTAATTTCTTTGTTCATTCACCTATTCATTATTTATCTCAGATCTTAAACACCTGTTCATAAATATCATCTCAGCGTTGGGCAGTGAGGGAAACAAATATTTCTCAAACTAGTGGTCTTATATTACATGAGCAATTCTTGTGCCTGAAATCTATATCTCTGGCTGTTGTCATTCTAACAGAGGAGAAAGTCATTCCTTTTTTTTGTTTGTTTGTTTTCCTTTTTCTTTCTGGTATTACAACAGCTTTCAGAATCAGAAACTGATGACAGAAAATTAGAGATAATTTTCCTTAGAAGAAACGAACTTCTAATATGCTAAAATTCCTTCCCTGGTCATCTAAAGGTGGGTGAAAAATGAAGTGCAGCATTCCCTACCCAGGCTGCTCCCAGGGGAAGAAGGAACACAGTTAATAGTTTCTTCCCCTCTGATCTCCACTTTGCCACTACCTGCCTAGACAGAGGTAAGCTACTGGCTCTACCTTCCCCACCTCCACAGAACCTAAATCCAACTGACATTCCACTTTTCCAGCAAGCCTATGGAAAAAGAGAGGCACTCCTCTTGATTCTTGACATAGGTTGCAAGTTTTGGGCCTCCTCATTCTTCCTGTTATCACCCCCACTAAATTCCAAGGCTCCTTTGCTTCCTGTGGCATTTATTACAGTAACATTTCTTTCACTCCCACAAACCTCACCACCTCAGCCTCACAGTGAACTGGGAAGCAAACAAAGAGTCTACAAATGGCCCAAATAATGGTCATAAACTGTGAAGACTAAAAGCTCAGGCTCTAAGGATCAGGAAAGGTCTTCAGCTAATCTTTTAACTTTAAAATTTCACGGGATTTCTTAGAAGCCCTGTTAACTGGCCGCCCAGCCTATCCAGAGGCAGCATTTGGAAACAACAGAGAAATCCCTAATAAGCAGGCTTAAGCATTTTACAAACACAGCTTTAGAGGCTACTAGTTACAACACCCCCTCAAAACCCCTAAGGCACACAGTATAATACTTGATGTTCATAATTATCCTCCTAACCATATAACTATGACCATCACAATCCTTGCTTCATGGATGAGAGGTCAAATAGATTCAAGTCTGCCTAGCTTGTAAACTGAGGAGTGGCGGTTACATCTGAACCCAAATCCATCTGAACACCCCCTCGATTTCGTTACACCTCGGTTGCCTCAGGTTCCAAATATTCTTGCTTTAAAAAGCTATGTAACTCTGGCGGCGCATGGGGTCAAGACACAAACTATGAAGTTATCAGCAGCCACTGCAGCACGAGTTCGATCCCCAGCCAGAGGGGAGACCCACATGGCGAAGCAGACCTCTCCTGACTCGCCTGCTGCTCCCCTCAGCAGTGTATTTCAGTTGCTCTGCCTGTTCTGTTCCCCACTCTGTCTCTGGTGAATCCTCTTGCCCTCCACACCTCTGGCCTGTATCCCAGTTCTTGTATGCATAAATAAACAAATCTGTAAAAAAAAAAAAAAAAAAAAAAAAGCTATGTATGATGTACTTATTTTATTTTATTTTCATTTTATTTTTTTTACATCATTTTTCATTTTTGCACAACGTATGCATTTCCATCTTGGTTATATTCCCCATACAATTTCCCCCCTCCTTATTATGACCCTAATCCCTCCTCCCATCCCCCCTAGTGTGTTTCTGGTTTATAGTTGCTTGTTGATTTTGATTTTTACGTAAGATGTACTTTTATGAGAACTTCAATCACAGACATGCTTGGATGCTTCTGTAACTTGGAAAAATCACAACTGAGCAAATCTGGCCAACGCAGTATTTGCATATTTTGCGAGTCCAAGGATGTGGCTTTTTCCCTCTCAGAAGTCTAGTTACTTCTAGGGGTGAGGGCCGTGGGCGGCGATGGGGCGCCGGGCAGGTCCCCGAGCTACGTGCGCCCTGCAAGGCGCCGGGCGGGCTCCCCGGGCAGCCCCACGCGCGGGAGGCGGAGGTGGGGGGCGGGGCCCACGCTCATTGGCCAGTTTCTTCGCGCGCCGCCCGGGGCCCCGCCCCTCCCGGGCCAGGCTCCGCCCTGCTCGCGACGAGGCTCCGCAGGAAGATTCCCCGGCACGCGCGCGCGCGCGGCTCCCGGCCAGGCCCCCCGGATGGAATCTCCGCGGAACCGCTCTGCACACGGCCCCCACCTGAGGACTTCCGGCCGGCCGGCCGCGTCGCCCCGCCCCCTGAGGGCGGAGAATCTGCTGGGCTGCGCCAATCACCGCGCGCCTGTTGTGGGAGTGGGCGGGGCCTGAGAGATTCGAAAGGAGCCCCGCCCCCTCAGAGCTGGTTCCCGGGCTGCATTGTGGGAGCAAAGCACCTTCCGCGGGAGGTGAGGGGCGGCGGGAGGTGGAAGCCGAGGGTGGGCCGGGGGTGTGGCGTGGGTGTGGTGCGCGGGGAGCGGGACGGTGGCTTGGGAGAGGACGGACCGGGGGTGGTGCCGGCGGAGAAGACTGGACGTGCTCGCCGCCCCACTGGGAGAGGCCGGGCCGAGGGGGCCGGGGGTGCATTCTGCCCAGAGGGGTGGGGGTGCGGGGGCGTCTGCATGCCTCACCTGAGGTAGAGGGGGAGTTCCAGGGGCAGGTGCTTCTAGCTTTTCCACCAGCTGGACCCCCAGCCCCTGAGTCTCGCGGGGAGCCCTGGGCAGGGAAGAGACCTGAGCAAATGTGTTTCCTCTGCAGCCCAAGACTAGACGGACTGCTGCTCCTGCTGGCTGGAACATGGAAGATTTGGGGGGAGGTAAGGCAACCCCGGAGGGGGAAATGAGGCCCTGCGATTGCAAACTGTTACGGGTCCCTGTCTGCCTCTTACTCTTTCCTCCCCTGCAGATGTCAAGTTTATTGTGGATGAGACCTTGGACTTTGGAGGACTGTCCCCCTCTGACAGGTACCACCCTCTTTATCCTCTTTCCTGCAACAATGCCTGTTTCTAGCCGCTTACTGCTGAGTTTCTGGCCTCTGGCGTCTGGGTTGGTAGTTTAGCAAAGGTGGGTGCTCTGGGGCTGCTGGATGCTTGGTTGGTTGGGTCTTTATAACATTACTGGGGGAGGGGAGAAGCTGGAAGGAGATTTCAGGGTGTTAAGAACAAGGGTAAGTGGATTGGCTGCATCTTCATCCTGGCATAATTTCCAATGTCAGTAATTGCTGAAGGCCTTATTAGGCCTCATGGAACCAGTGTCACCCCCTCTGGAAGCCAGATCTCCCCACCAGCATGGACATCAGGGCTTGGGGTTATGTCCCTCGCGCTGTTGCTGGGCTTTTGAAGCCTCTTGCCATCTCCTGCTTTATTCTGTGTGAGCATGGTGCCGGTTTGTTTTCTGTCTCAGCCGTGAGGAGGAAGACATAGCAGTGCTGGCGACCCCAGAAAAGCCCCTCCGCCGAGGCCTCTCCCACCGAAGTGACCCGAATGCCGGAACCCCCACCCCTCAGGGTCTGAGGCTCAGCTTAGGTCCCCTAAGCCCAGAGAAACTGGAGGAGATCCTGGATGAGGCCAACCGGCTGGCAGCGCAGCTGGAACAGTGTGCCCTACAGGAGCGGGAGAGTGTGAGTGAGGGCCTGGGGCCGCGTAGGGTGAAGCCCAGCCCTCGCAGGGAGACCTTTGTGCTGAAGGACAGTCCTGTTCGTGATCTGCTGCCTACTGTGAGTTCTTTGGCTCGGAGTACCCCTTCCCCAAGCAGCCTGACACCCCGAGTCCGGAGCAGCGATAGGAAGGGGTCAGTCAGAGCTCTTCGGACAACATCTGGAAAGAAGCCCTCCAGTGTGAAGAGGGTGAGTTCTAAGGGTGGGGTTGGAAGTGTGCCCCCAGATACAGTGCACAGCAGGGCACAGGCACAGAGCCGTGCCCTTGCTGGCAAAATGAGGATATAGTAAGATAGAATTGTCGAAATTCAGTGCAATGCCATTAGCACAGCAGTTACCACAATACCTGTGCATAAGCTCTGTAATGTCTGATAAGCTCTCAATAAATGGTATTGGTGATGATGTTAGCAGCTAAGTTCTACCCTTCCTTCCTGGGAGCTAGGCAACTCTCCATCTCTATCCCTTCATCAGCCAGCAGAACAGATTCTTGCTCCATTTTAGGCTTTCCCCCCCTCTTTGTGTTTCAGGAGTCGCCCACTTGCAATATGTTCCCCACATCCAAGAGCCCAGTATCTTCTTCTCTTGCCCGATCAACTCCTCCAATCCGATCAACTCCTCCAGTCCGATCAACTCCCCCAATCCGATCAACCCCTCCACTGCGATCAACCCCTCCACTCCGGGGGAAAGCTGGGCCTAGTGCAAGAGCGACAACAAGTGAGAAAATCTGGGGAGTGGAGCTGTGGATGAATGGAAGTAGGGAGGATGTGGAATTCACCCTAAAATCCCTCCACTTCTTTCCACCAGGTCCCTCTGTCCCTATCAGACCAGTCACGGCCCCACAGTCTTCTACCAGCACCTCTCAGCGCCTGTCCCGACCACAGGGGGCAGCAGCTAAACCATCCAGTCGGCTCCCTCTTCCCTCGGCCATCCCCAGGCCAGCCAGCAGAATGCCACTCACCAGCCGAACTGTACCACCCAGCAAAGTGGCTCTACCTCCAGATTCTCTACCAACTTGGAAAGGACTCCCAAGACCAAGTGCTGCAGGGCACAGAGGTGAGGAAGCATGGACTTCAGAGTAAGAAGTCAGGAGGAAGAATACCTACCCTTGCCTGGCTTGACCTCACTCTTCCAGAGCTGTTAACAACCATGCTTTACTCCATCTTCATTTCAATCCCATTTGAAGATGGGGAGACTGAGTTAAAGAGACCATGTGGCCTGGGCAGAGTTTGTTCCTTGGTTTTCAAATACCTGATGTTTTTCACCTTGGGTATGAGGGAAGGGCACTGACCCCAGAATCACTCTGCATTCATCCCGTATATCTTTTTCAAAATATTACTCAAACTTGCTTCAAATTCATTTATTTTTTTTTAAAGATTTATTTATTTATGCATACAAGAGCTGGGGTACAGGCCAGAGGCACGGGTGGGGGTTAGTGAGAGGATTCACCAGAGACAGAGTGGGGAACAGAACAGGCAGATTGACCAAAGTACACTGCTGAAGGGAGCAGCGGACGAGTCAGGAGAGGTCTGCTGCGCCATGTGGATTGCTCCCTGGCTGGCCCGGAATCCAACTCATGCTGCAGTGGCTGCAGACAGCCCCACAGGTTGCATCTAAACTCTTGTGCCACCAGGGAGGCCCTCAAATTCATTTCTTCTATTAACCCCCTTCTAGTTCCTGTTTCCCAGCGATCAAATCTTGCTATCTCTGGTGCCACTCGCAGCAATCTGCAGCCCCCCAGGAAAGTTGCAGTTCCGGGACCTACGAGGTAAGACTGGTTGAGATGCTCTCTCTCTCTCTCTCTCCCTTGTCATCTGATTCTGCGCTTTTTTGCACATCCGCCCAAATCCTGTGTGGCAAGATGGGGATGAGGAGGGGAGCCTGGAGGACCAGGAGTCCCATTTCTTTCAGCCTTGAGGAACTTGAACTCAACTGGGTGACAAATGGGATTGAGGATGAAGGGTAATTCAAAGCAGTTCCTCCTGTCTCTTTAGGTAAAGAGATCAGGACAAGAAGCAAGAATTCAGTCGCAAACCACTACAGTCACTGCCTGGACTCAACTTCACTTGGCCTCCAATCCCTCTTGTTGGACACAGGCCCTGACTCCAGCACATTCTGGCCCGGGAACAGGAAGAAAAGATGCCACCAGGGCAGGAATGGAAACCATGGAGAGGGGGGTGGAGCAGGGTTGGGCTGGAGGAGAATCATACTCTCTGGGTTGAAAGATTAGGGAAGGAGGGTCGCCTCCCAGCAGTGAAATTAACGAACAAGAAATGAGAAATGCGAGAGTGGTTTTCCTCATCCACCACTCTCATGTACAGCCCCAGAGAGTTTCATCTACTTCCCAGGTATTGGTTCTCTGGACATTTATATGAATGGCCTCTGTAGCTAACCTCCCTGCTCTCACATCCTTGCCGGGACTTGGACCTATTGGCAGAGACAGAGGCAGGCACCTGGCCTCCAGTTTCCTGTGAATTCCGTGACTCCTAAAGACCAGTTTGATAAGCTTAATCCATTGGTCTGCCTTTTTCTAAAATAAAATGAATGTATTTTTATATACTCTAAATATGTGAAGACCTTGTGCCAATTTCTGAAGTAAATTTTGTGTAATTGCAATGAGAGAACCAAGATAGGCAGGGGCCTGATTAGGTTCTATGGCCTTGAGATTCCAGTGCATGAGGCTGTGACTACGCCCCTGCTTGGCATTAGATGGGAACTGTCTGCCTTTTCCCAGGATTCATGTTATTAGAAGGTTCAGAGCAAAGTTAAATATAGTTGAATTCATGTTGTGAAGTTTCCAGGCTAGGGTCTTGGCAAATTATTTGTCCTACACTTGGGTGTCCTTTCCTCGCAAGAGAATGGCCCTCCTAGGAACTCCTCAGTTCCTTGTGCTTACAGGGTGAGGAGCTCTTTGGTGAGTACCCTAATATTGAGCTTCTGGCTGATTGCCTCAGCCAGAAGATTCGGGAATACCCCATGATAATTTACCTTCTGTCATTAGAGCTCTCGGTGTTTTCCTCCTACCGCCTCTATGAGATTTGAGGTATAACACCAGGATTTATAAACCTGTGCAGGCCTAGTTGTGACACATTCGTGACAGGGAATTTCATTTATTGAAAAAAATGAGGGGAAAATAACGTGTTTGCTGAACGAATGATACTCATTTCTAACAGATTCAGCTAAGGGCCTCCCCTGTATCACAGGCTTTGACTCTTAAAACCAGAATCACCTCAATTCCTTGTGAGTCTTGAGAGAATGTGCTTCCTTTGAAGGCCAGGCCATAACTTAAGGAAGCCAATAGGCAACTGGGCAAAGGGAGTGGGAGAGCCAGCTGGTGCCCTCTGCTCCCCTTGCCTACATGCCCATGCTCAGGCATTGAAATGCCCTTTCTCCTGGACCAGGACTCTACTGCTTCTCCTTTTTATATAGCTGATCTGAAGGTTCAATTAACTCATTCACCTGTACACAGCGAGAGCTGAGTATTCACCTTACTTACTCTGACTGACCTGGAGTCTTCTGGGGTTCCAAGAATTGAGTTGGGGGGTGGGGAGTGGAGACAGATAGTGAGTTTGGCAGAGGCAAGAAAACTTCATGTTTCCCAGCCGTGGCTTGCACTGGGGTCTAAGGAGCAGGAGACGACCTGCTCTGACAAAAGCACAGGAAAGTCATCAAGTCTAGGCATACACTTAGGCATGGCCAGCAGATGGCTTGATTGGGGGGCTTAGGTATGAGCTGGCTAGGCAGCAGTCCTGTGTGCTGATGCCACCTGGTGGCCAGAGAGGACCAGTCATATTCCCTTTTCCCTCTTAGGTCAGCTGAGTTTTGTACACACACCCTGTCAGTCACCACCACCCTCCAGCCCAAACCTGCTTCAGTAACATTCAATAGGCAGTACCAGCAGGGAGGCCTGCCTGCCACAGATGCCCTTCTTGTTCTCCTTGCTTGCTTTCTTCCCTTTTGGGCTGGCATTCTATTTTTCTCTCTTATGCACTCTACCTCCACCCCCACCCAGGAGCAACAGTGAAGGAAGCCAGTGTTTACTGGCCTCTTACTATGCACTGTGAACTGTTCTAAGCGCTTTACATGTGTTAACTCATTTAATCCTCATAAAAGCTCAATTAGGCAGATGCAATTATCATACTTGTTTTGCAGGCAGAGAAACCAGACTCAGAGAGATTAAGTCACTAGTCTGGATCCAGGGTTTGTATGCTTAATTGTTTATTCTCCATTACCCCTGTGTTAACACCCTATCTAGTTTGTGAACAGAACTTTGAAAAACACAAAACTAGAAAACAAGTAATGTTGCAGAGCATGTAGTTGAGAGCATGGTAATTGCCTCATTTCTAATGGGAAAGAACACAAAACAGTCCAGAGCAGTGGCACTTCTAAATTCCCACCAGCCTCTAAACTCAGCTCTCCCTGCCTCCTGAATTCTGGCCCCAGGAATCTTGGCCATCTTGGATTTAGCCCTCAGGGACTGGTTGGAAACCTGCCTGCTCTGTGCGCTCCCTCCATCTTGGTGAAAGGACATTTTCCCGCCACCTGTCACATCTTCCTTGGAATGCAAAGCAGGGGTTCTGTGCTGATAAGGTTTTTGGGGAGCACCACTGGGGTGTTTGTAAAGTGGCTGGCTCATCACGCACTTGGTATCTGAGCCCCCTTCCTAGTGGGGCCTCCTGGAGTCCCGCCTGCTTGTTTTCCAAAGACCAGGCCTTCCACGCCTGGAAGGACAGGGCCCCACACAGACACACACGACCACAATGCTCAACCCGCACAGAACTAGTTTATTCAGTAGTATGGGGAAATGAAAAAAACAAAACAAAAACCCTACCGTATTTACAGTAACAATCAAACTGTACAATCTGATGGTTAGTATCAAGTTAGCATCCAGCATCTTTGTATTTTTTAAGTCAAGTCATCAGTAGTAAAAACCAGTTAAATTTTTAACCCTTTGCAGGAATTGCTGAGGGGAGAGGGCAGGGAGACTCCACGGCAGAACAGCTGGAGACTAGCCTTCTAAATGAGGAACAGGAACCTTTTTTTTTCTGCCCATAGCCTCTTTTTTAGCCACCCGCTCCAGAGGGAAGCTGGTGACAAGTCTGGAATACATGCTTCACGTAAGTGGTGACTCAAATGAATTGCAGTTGGCAAAACCAAGAAGGGAGAGGAGAGGTGGGTAGGTGACAACCTGGCGCAAGAGGAAGGGCCTCAGGCTCAGGCCCCTACGCCAGGATGCCGGGTGCACACCCAACCTGTGACGGCCACCACACACCCCCGGGACCAGACACGAACCCATCCTGACACAAAAAGCAAATAAATAAAAAATATATATTAACTCTCTCTTCGCAGGGAGCTGGGGGAAGGCTGGGAGAGAAAGAGGAACAGGACCTGGTCCTTTGAAGAAGAGAGCCAATTCCAAGAAGGGGTTAAAAATAGAACCTGTCTCAGAGGCCACAGCAGGTCAGACAGAGTGTGGTTTGTCTGATCTTGGGGGGCTGGGTGAGTGGACACTGGAACCCAGACTTGAACCCTGTGCTTGAGATGCTCGGGGTAACCGACCAGCACTGTACTGGCTCTTCCTCCCCATCCCACCCACACAACAGCAAAGAAGCGCAATTTAACACATGACTGGCCTTCCCCAGTGCGGGTCGGGCAGGGAGATGAAGCACTTTTGGGTCAGCGAACTGAGCAAACGCCTGGGCTGCGGCACGTGGCCAGAGTCCAGGGGAAGGAGAGGGCTGGGGTAGCCCAGCCGCCGCCCGGGGCGTGGGCTTCCCTCACAATGTGTTCATGCAGCATTTGGGGGTCCGGGGGCTCTGAGTCCTTCTGCCCCCTCACCGGACAAGGCTTTTTCAGTTCCTGGGAGGCGTGGCACAGGTGGGGTGAGGCGGGCCCTCTGCCCAATGCTCACGCCATACTGAGGCCTGCCCGGGTGCAGCCTGCAGGGCTCAACACCCTGGGTGCGTGTGGCTTTGTCCTTTCCTTTTGGTGATGGCAAATTGGGGGCAGGCCCCCCAAGAGTCCCTCTCCTCCCAGAGGCACAGCAGATGGGAAACTGAGGAGAGGCTGGGAAGCATCCTGGGAGGACCTATCCTCTTTGGGAAGGGAAAGGGAAGTCGGTTTCCAGCGTATAAAAAAAATTAATCCCTGAAGTCATGAAGAGTGGAGATCCTTTTTTAAATTCGTTTTTTCTCTTTTCTGAAAAACTTTGTCTTGGAGATGTTGGCCCCAGGGGTCCAAAGTGCAGTGAGGGGGATGGCGGGGGAGGGAGTTGGCACTAGATGGCCTTGGGGAGGGGTGCCCCTCCCAGCAAGGCCCCGGCTCCTCAGATGGACGTTTCGTCGCTGCTGCGGGCAGGCGTGGGAGCAGGGGCGGGATAAAGCACAAGACAGGAGTGGGCATGAGTGCAGCTGGGGAGGGTAAAGGAGCCTCAGGGTGTAGGAGCCACCGGCCCAGGGTTAATGCAGGAAGTTAAAGAAGAGAAATCTGGAGAGGCAGGAAAGGAAAGCGACAGAAAAGGCAGACAGAGGGTTAGTCAGAGCAGAGAGACAGTGAGAAGCTTTCACCAGAAGGAAACAGAAAAGCAACCCAGCTGCCCGCCCTCCCTCACTGCCCGATGCTGCCTGGGCCAACCCGCTCGCCGCCTGGTGGTCCTCCACTGCCAACCAGGGTAGCCCGGGAAGCCGGGAGGCCGCTCCAAGAGCAGCCGGGCCTCGGGGCCACAGCCTTCCTGCCCCCCGCCACACTCACTCGGAACCTGACGAGTCCTCAT